ATACAATGTTATTTTCTTATATACACAGCCCAGATTTTCAAAATTTCTTAATTTTTTTTTAACTTATATTAATTTTTGATCTTATTATATGTAATCATATGTAAAATCCGCTATTTTTTGACATACTATAATGTTGTTATTACGTTTATGAACTTGAATAAAATATCCATCATTAGTCGCACGGGTTTTAATATTAATTTAAATGTTGTTTTTTATATTTGCATGAACACCTTACATGTAACCTGAACTTCTAAGAACGAACGCTGGATTTGTGTTGGATGTACTTTTTGTTCTTACAATTAGTATATGTAAACATATGTAAAATCCGATACTTTTTAACTTAATACAATGTTATTATTGCATGTATGAACTTGAATAAAATATCCATTATCTGTCTCACGGGTTTTAATATTAATTTAAATAATGTTTTTTATTTTCGTATAAACACACTAATTTAACCTGAACTTATAAGAACGTCATTATTGATCATAAATTTAATTCGTTATACTTACATATATAAATATACATATATACATATGAGCATGGCAGTTCTATTTGCATATGCATATATTCTTCTTTTGGTATCGACACTTTGCGATCTATCTTATAATAATCTTACGCAAATCGAACATCAATGCATTTCAATGAATAAGGACTTCGTTCCATCCGCAATGTGAAAAAACAGCCATGTTTTCATTCTTAGTGTTAATTACCCGTCTCAACCTTGGTAACGATAGACCAGTATAAGGCAACGTCACTTTCAGAACTAACAATCAGAGAACTTTGTCTTACGAGTTGAAGCACAATCAGAAAAGTTACTCAGATTAGACCATCAAGGAAATTGACTCTTTTTTGGTCACTTTTTAGCCAGTTAATTGTTGAGAATTGCCAGAATCTGGTCACATTTTAACTAGTTAACGGTGGAGAAGTGGCAGAATTTTGTGTGTTGAGGAGTATATAGATCAGTAACCATTGGTCATTTAAATTGTAATTTTTAAGAAAAACTAAACATATATTCTCAAATTTCAAGATGGAATATTTTGAGGCAATGCTGGAATAAAATACGTAGTTGTAAGTGGCATTTAACTTCAAATGTGTAAATGATTGATGTAATCAATATAAATTCAAATTCATCTAATTAAATTTTTACCAAATTTAATTTACCAAAAGCTAATCAATGCGATTTTCAATTGATATTTTTTTATAGTAGGAACAGTACACTAGAAAATCAAACTAATTATTTTACAATAAATAACACATATCAAACAAACAACTATCTGACTATGTTCAGTAAACCCCAGATTCTTGTAGAAATGTTTTTTTGCTATTAGTTAGTATAGGCGGGGACGGCCAGTGGGCAAACAGGTCCAATGTCTTATTTTTTACTTGAAGGAATTTTACGAAATAATAGCTACATTGTTCAACCAATGCATTTCATGGCTACATTTTTTACAGAGATAACACTGAATATAACCTTGAGCTGGTATTTTGTCTGCAATCTTTATTAGCAGAGTAGGAATAACAATAAATTTATCTCTTAAGAAATTTAGTTTTTTATTTACTAATTTTTATTGTTTTGTCGGAGTGAAAGTTCAGTTGATCCTTTTTACCCCACCCACGTGTAAGCTTTTATATAGGATAAAAAGACTGTTGAATCTAACTTAAATTTAACAACATATCTTATAAAATAATAGATATCGTATATTTAAAAATTATATTGAGGTCTCGAAATGTAAACAACAGTGCTCACAACCAAAAAAAAACTAACAACGGAAGAAAATACTTTTGTTATGGATTTTCAAACATTGCTCTTTCTTTCTTGATAGTGACATCGTAAGAATCAAGGTGGTGGCTGGTTATACATCTTTTTCTCTCTACTTTCTAATATTGTTAAAAAATCTTAACTTTACTTATTTTTGAGATATCGGTGGACCTTTCTACCCGCGGACTTTTAAACCCAGCTCTTCCCTAAAAATGTATTAATTTAATTTAATATAATTTATTTACCACATTTCCTACTTATTCATGTTCCAAAAATGTATTTTATTCTAGAGTGCACATCAACGGTGATCAGTAGATACACACCACATAGCGGAATATATCTATACGGTGCTTGTACTAAGAGCGCGGCTTATTATTACAAAGTGTAATGAATTTTTATAAATAAATGACTGTTTCTAGGCCTATAATATTTTAGGATTTTCGAATCACTTCACAATAAGAACTTGAATTCTTACTTTTGTATGTCTATTTTTTTTCTTCAACAATATATTTACAACTATTCTACATAGACATTAAGTAAATCTTTTGGCAATTATATATAAAAAATGACATCGATATATAAATATGTCTAATATTTTATTGAATTTATTTAGTTTTTAGTTTAATGCGTATGTATTAGGTATATTATGTTACCCAAAGAAGTAAAACTTTATCTTTTTCAATCGATATCTGTAAAATGCGCACTGTAAAATGAGTTCGATACAGTTAACTGTTTAAAATGGAAATTGATATTTTTAATAGCTTTATTTAGCAATCAAAGAATTACAAGGTTTTATAAGCTAAACTGATCATCATAAATATGTTAAACTAAGATAAGATTCATGCATTTATCTTACTAATTGTTACTTAATTAACATTTTTAACGATGTTAATCACGTGTTATCTGGAGGCCATATTCTTGTTAATTCTTTTTCTGGGGTCACAGGACTTGTTTTAAAATTTTGTTTGGATATATTTCTGATTTGCTTCAATAATTTAATGACTGAACCTTAAAAGGTTTTTTTAAATTTTTTTATCATATTATCAAAATTGTTATAGACTGTTTTGTAACATACCACGGTGAATCAAGTATTGTTTATAAAATTCTAATAACTTAGGTGACTTAAATTGATATTGGCAAATATATCGAGCTAAAATATCGATAGTGAAAGTACTCACTATCGACATAAAAGTATCGATATTTACTCATTGCTCGATATTTAGTTCTAACACTACTTAGGTCTAGTAGTAGTTAACTGAAACTATAATAAATTATTTCTAAAATATTTTTCAAAATTTATTCATTCTTGAGTATTTTGTGTTCTGAGTACTGAAAATAATATATTTTAGCATATGTCGTTTTGCAGTTGACGGTTTCGTGACATATGCTATATCCGTTATTTTAATTGGAATTTTATTAGAAAACTAGCTGTAAGTGGAATTCTGTCTTAAGGCAATTAAGGCATCGTGCCTTAAGGCAAATTGCTGGAACTTTCCGTACCAAATATTATTAATTTTTTAAAAACGATTAACGTTTTTGAAAAAAATGTACTTTGAAAAAATAATATTTTTGAGAAACTATATATATGGACCAAAAATTACTTTTTTTTGAAAAAAAAATTTTTTTTTAAAAAAATAATTTTTTTTTAATTTTTTTTTTTTTGAAAAAAATTTTTTTTTCTTTATTTTGACATATTGTGGAAGATCTGAACTTTTTTTCATAGCAATCGTACTGATTTAACTGCATAGGGACAAAATATAAAGCGCGTAAGCGCCGCGTCGCTGTCTAACGCATAAGCATTGGTACGGAACCCATAGGAATGTTAACAAAATGTATACTTATTGTTAAAATCTCTATAAAATATCTGATAATTTGATGTGCATATGTCTAATGATCATTTTTGACCGCCAAATGGCTCATTTTTTTACTTTTTCCTCCATATCTCCGAAACCGCTAGACCTACCTTTATGAAAATTTGATCGATTCTTCATCTTGTCAATACAAGTGAAATGTTTTTTGAATTATTTAAATCGGACGCTCCGTTCTCTTAAAAACTGAGTTACCGTTTTCGGCACTTTTTGCCCCGTATCTTCGGAACGGCTAGACCTGCCTTCGCCAAAAACTAATCAGCACGTCTCCTTATCAATGCGAATCGAATGTTCTTTGAATTATTCAAATCGGTTGATCCGTGTTCCCGAAATCGTCGACGAAAATTTGTATCCGCACATACATACACACACGTACATACATACACACACACATACACACACACATACACACACACATACACACACACACACACACCCACACATACATCCATTTTTTCTAAGGTATGCCAAAATGTTCAGAAACTTTTGAAACGTAAAGATATATAAAAATTTTCATTTTCGATTTTTTTGCGATTACTATAACTTGCCCTACGGGAAGTTAATTATTATAATAATTGAAACTAATAATATGTTTTAGTGTATGGTATTGTCATAAGACAAATTGTCGGAACTTCCCATTTTAAAAACAATTAGTAGATAGAATCTTCTTAATAATAGTGAAACGGAGCAAACGTAATAGACTTTGTAATTTTTCAGGCTACGAAATGAAATCTTGTTGTTTTCTAATATAATTTTGTATGATTTATTATTTTTATAATTGGATTATTTTCATATTTTAATATTTAATATTAGCACAAAAAGATTGAATTTGTAATCTATTCCTATCTATTTTCTCTATTGTCTTGCTCAATTTTTTTTATTTAAAGTAGAAGTAACACTGGTAACTTATAATTAGGGGGCGTCCATTAATCATATGATCGATTTTTTAAGGATTTTTGGACCCCCTCTCCCCTTTGGTGATACGTGGTGATATTCAAAATTACTCACGCCCCCCGGCACCAAACATCACGTGTATTTTTAGTTACAAGTAAAATTTGTAAAATTTTTGATTTTTCTTGAAAATATTTAAATTTACAAAAAAATCTGGTAAATAATAAACACACATGATATTTTACTATACACCTCCTTCTTTCACGTGATATTTTGTAATTTTTTGTCAAACCTTCCCTCCTTCTAAAAATCTCACGTAATCAATGGACGCCCCCTTATTGTTATATCTAATTGATTTATGCCATTTATTTATTATATTTCTTTTACCTTTTCTGAATGTCCCCCAGGGATCGTTGCAAATTATATGGTGAAATAAAAATCCTGTAGATTTATTATTAATTTCTATTTCATATTGATAGGATCATGATGGAAGCCGAATCGGAACCTCTGCCTCCTTTGCCCCAAGTAAAAGACAGCGACCTTGCCTTAAGACGAAGGCAACTAAAATCGCAACAAAGTACAGTTGCCAGTAGAAAACAACATGCAGTATGCGTGCGAGGAGCTCACAAACAATATGGATCAAGTAAAAATCCTAATATTATTTTGGATGGACTTAACATGACAGTGCCGAAAGGATCCATGTGAGTAACTTTTGAAATCTGATGGCAAATTTTTTGTATTTAATATGAATGAAATATACCAAAATTTTATTTGGTTTGTCAGATTTTTTGTATTAATGTTATGTAGGGTATAAAGTGAATTTTCTGCCTTTATTAGTCGTGCCTATAATATAGTATTTCAAAACGCATGATAATTTATATAATTTATACAATGAAGAAGAAAATTAATGTATGTAATTAATAAAGAACTCTCACGCTCTGCACGTCACTAAGCTAATATATATATATATATATATATATATATATATATATATATATATATTATATATATATATATATATATATATATATATTTATATATATACTAGACGACCCGACAGACGTTGTCCTGTACCCACGTCTTCAATTCAAAAGTTCAAATTTTCTTTAATATCCTATCATATACTTTTTAATATTCTATTTGATGTCCTGTCTTTGTGATTTATTTATGGTCTTAGCATAAGCAGTATAAAAAATTCAGAAAAAAAATAATATAGTATCTGCGGTAAAAGAACAATATCACACTTGATTTTACCACACAATATAATTGCTTCAATAATTTAGTGTTTAGTCTATAATTTTCATAATCTCGTACGATATATTAGTTGCTTTTTGGCAATTATAATTTCTAAAGTACACTTTTGTTACTAATAATTTAATAAACATTATTGTTTTTGTTCAAATCCTAGTAGAATTAATTTGTAAAATCTAGTTCATATGAGCACTCTTCAATCTAAGATCAACTTGCTAAATATTCTATATCCAATGCCAACCAAATCAATTTTTGACACATGAATCTAAATTATTGTTAAATAATTTAGTAAAGTAAACCAAAATGCCACATGCATCTGTTTAAAAAAATAATATATATGTAATTTTGGACTTATTGCGTTATTTATTAAACTGAATTATATAATTTCATCTGCCAAACACATACTGTTGAAATATTATTCTAATTTCTGGCATATATTAGCTGCTTTTCGGCAATAATAATGTAGACATTACATTATTTAGGCTCGTAATTTCAACTAAATTCAAATTTGAAGTGAATTGACATTTCTAGCAGATGCCAGTTCAAATGTTTTCAATGTCAAACAATGATAAGTGGTTTTTTGTAATTTTTGCCATTTATTTCTACAATATTACTATAGTTTCATCGTTCATTAAAGCTTAAAAATTTCCTTTGACAAACTCTAAAAAGAATTATCAAAATCCGAATAACCGTTTAGTAGGAGAAGTATCAAATCATACACCCGTACAGAAGAAATTTATATATAAGATATATATATATATATATATATATATATATATATATATGACCATGGTTGCGTTAACAACTGTTCTATGACCTCACTCATTAGCTTTTTTACATCCAAATGATGTGTTTGCCTTCAATGGATTTTCTCTAGTTGCGGGGTCTTAAAATTTATTGTAATGCACAGGAAGTCCAACAATGACGATTGCAAAATTTATTGGCTTTCAAATATTTGTACACAATAACATCAAATGATCTAATGGCTATGTGTACATTACAAAATAACTAATAAATTATTATTTACCAATTTTAGGAGTATTATTTATACATTGTCTCAAGGACACAATTAACTTGTGCACCGCTATTCCCAATTAATAGTATATGTTTTATTCAATGTACTTAATTTTGTACTATTCATAAGAGATGATTTGTCTTGCTTTATTTTCTATAAACATAACTAAAAGGTTTACTACTGGGTATCCTTTTAAGCATCCATTTTTACTACCAACAATCTAATTACTGAATGTTTTTTGGAGACAGCAATAATAATATTACCTAGATTTATCATTTCGTGATAAATTAGTTCATGAGTTTATTTTTAATATCAGTCATCAGCTTTTACTCATAAATATTATAAACCATATTACACTACATTTGAGCTTGTGTTATTAAAAGTTCGTACTGAAAGTGCAAGTGCATTACTTGCACTTTGAATACAATTTATTTTTTGTTGATGAACACGAATTACCTTCCATTACGATAATAAAATACAATAATACGAACAGCAAAAATAGTTCAAAATAATCTTAATTATGCACTACACGCATAAATTTAGAAAGGTCAAGGTGTTAAAATTAGTTACTAAACTTGACGACTCAGGTCAAAGGTCAAACTTTTTTGTTAAGATTGGCGTTTTCTTGCACGGTCATCACATTTTTGTTTGTCATGTCATGTCATGTCATAAAATAAATTATGTAACTTGTAATAAATAAAAATATCGAGCCTAGAACCTTGGATGTAAGACCAAAACTTCTACCGCAGAGCCTCGGGAAAGCCCCAATAAAATATTTGAATTTTCGTTTTGGTTATGAATATGTTTATTATAGAATGATATTATTGACCCTTGTTAAAATATGATTCATTTTTATAATTGATATTTGTCTGCTTGTGAAGCTTCTAATAGTTCTTTTTTGCTTATTGGATTCCGGTTTTAAAAGATCTACGCGCGGAACACTTCTTGTTTGATTTTTAGTTTAAATCCACAACAAAAATGGCAGGTAATAATTTGTTACTTAGAAACAGCATTTCTGTATTTGTAAAAGTTAATACTTATTTTTATAAATTAATAACTTTTATGATATCATTATTTGATGAATATTCAATATAACATTGTATATTTATACGTTACGTATATTAACGGAAGTAGAATTGCAATAATAATTTGCTAATTTTATTCAATTCATAAACGTTATTATCAATTTTCTTAGAACAATTTACTGAGAATTATAATTTCTTAGAACATTGTTCATACTTAGTTTCAGGCTAAATATATTTTAAAAACAATCAATTATTTATGAATCTATATTATATACGAGTAGATAATCATTCAAGCTTTTTCGTGGCTTATTTATTGCAGTTATCGTTTTTGTAATATAGGTTTCAGGTTCATTACATTCTCGGACAGCCTGATGTCAAGCAGCAGTCACATCGTATTTTCACTTGGAAATATAGATAGCAATATGTTTCCAAGTGAAAATAGCCCTTTGTGTTATTGCTGCATCAATAAAAAAATATCAGTATTGTAGAAATTGTAATAATAAATTCATCACATAGAGATAGGCAACCGTTTGGGCCGGAGCGGCGGCATTCGAGTGGAAAGGGTTAAAAAGTCAGCACAGCAACTCATATGACTCGTTAAGAGTTGGTTTCTGTAAAACATATATATATATATATATATTATATATATATATATATATATATATATATATAATTATATATATATATATTATATATTATATATATATATATATATATATATATATTAGGGTGGTACTTAATATGGACATTTTCGTATCTTCTTGCTCCCAAGGGCTCAAATGGTTCCAAATTGATAACAAACAAACAACAACTCTGAAAGTTTTAGTTCTTAGTATTATCTTTTAGGTAGAGCGCAATTCTATCAATTTTGTATGGAGATAGCATGAAAAAATATTCAAAAATTTTGCAGAGCGTCGAATTTTCAATAAAAAATGACACGAATTTTCACTTTTAATTTATTTTTTTTATTTTTAATTTTCAAAATTTTTTCCATGCTTTTTCCTTACGAAGTTTGATTGAATTGCGCACTATCTAAAAGTTAATATTAAGAGCTAAAACTTTCAGAGTATAGATTTTTATCAATTTTTAACCATTTGAGCCCTTGGAAGCAAGGAAATTTGAAAATTTTCATATTAAGGACCACCCTAATATATAAAAATATGATAATGCTTGAAGATTTCTCTAGTTTCTGTATTTTTGATCGCCTTCGACTAAGATAGCGTAACCAAACATTTATACCCTTGATGTGGACCGAATAGTTGCTAAATTTAATTTTAATTGTTTAATTTAATATTTTGTTTTATGAAATTATTTCTATTCAATTATTATGATTCCAAGAAATATTTTTATAAAAATAAATTCTAGAGATTTTGATCCGCATCTACTTTGTCCTTCCGAAGGCGGTGAGGCCGCAGTACGGAAAGTTTTATCCGTCGGGGACGACCGGTTTTTTGTTGATCACTGCTTATTCGTTCGTAGTTAACTTCTTCTTTGCTGAACTAAATGAATTCGTGGATTTGACAATGAACTGGCGGTTGATAATGATAGCTATCGATATTTAGCTGCATTGTTAAATGATACAAAGGTGAATGATTTTAGCGTTTCTGAATATTGAGAAGATAAAAAAAATAACAGCGATTAGGACTACGAAACCCAATGGTCCTTTATTTCAACCGCTTCTCTATTTTATGTTTGGACTAATATATTAGATATGTGATGGCGAAAAAGTGGTGCAGCAATGGCGAACACTTCTTGTTTGATTTTTAGTTTGAATCCACTACAAAAATGGCATATAATAGCTTATGAAAATTTTGTTAGTTAGAAACACATTTTCTGTATTTGTGAAAAATAATGCTTATTTTTTATAAATTAATAATTTTTATTATTTGATTATTATTCAATATAACATTGTACATTTATACCAGACACTATAGGCGATTTTCGCTTGAAATTATATGTGAGATATATAAACTTAAGTAAAAATTTGATATCATGCTGATTGATATCGAACTGGCCGAGTTTGGGATCGAACCTGGGACTAGTTAGTGCTAATTAATTATTATATGATGTGCGCACTAATTATAGATTACCGTTCAGGTGTAATGATAATAGAAGTTTACTTTTATTATGTTCTATAAATTTAAAAAAGCTGTTTATAAAATTAACCGTCTATAATAGAATATACTATTTTTCAACTTTCCATAGGGTATTTATAGTAATGGGCCGAAAATCGAAAATGAATATTTTTGCATATCTTCACGTTTTGAAGGTTTCTGAACTTTTTGGCATACCTCAGGGAAAATGGATGTGTGTGTGTGTGTTTTGTATGTCCGGATTTTTTTCGTCCACGTTTTTGGGTGCACGGATCAACCGATTTGAATGGTTCAAAAAACATTCGATTCCTATTGAT